ATTAACATGTCGTACGATGAGGTTAAATTGATGAGATGGCTTAATGAGTTATATTATATGGTAAATTAAAATAAATTAGGTGATTTAGTCTTGTCCATTACAGCAAGATATAGATATGATCGAAGTCATATATTTTATTGAAGTTGCAGTCAGTGCAGTGACTGAATCTGTCTGCATGTTAATTTTTCACGAGCAGTGAAACACCTGCTGCTTTTAATTTGTCTTGTTTTTTAAGTAATTTGTTTCTAGGTAAACATGTCTTAGAAGTTTCTGTTTTTATGTCAGAAGAAATTAATTTCAGACTTTTTTCCAGATCTCAATAGTCCTATTTTATTTCTTGTTTACTTCTTTATTTGTGTTAACCTGCGACCGATGATGTTCTTTTGCACTAAAAAATTATCAGGAAATGGATGAAAGAAAGAATGTAGTTTTTCTATAGCGAAAATTTACTTGTTCAGCTTGAAATACTGTAGATTTGAATAATGTATTATTGATTCATCATTCATAATTATTGTCATGTGATGCCATTATGTATCACATAATTTTTTTTTTACTTTTATCTTGTGGAGTCAGTTCAACATCATGGATGGAATCCAGTCTCGCACTTTTGGCAGTCTCATTAGTATTCATATAAGGGTTTATGTTGGGCGTCTTTGCCTTCTCAGTACCTTTATTTCCAATTGTGGTGCCTTCTTGGTGATTCTTTGCTGGTTTCTTCTCAGGATGCATCCAGTATAGTGCCCTCTTCCTGTCTTAGATACTAGTGGTTGCCCAGACATTTCTCTTATTTCTTCACCCCTCTTGAATTCATTCTATTTTATGCTCAACATTTTCCTCAGGCATTTAGAATGCATTTTGTGTATTATTGATAGATTGGAAAATACTTGTAGACCTATAAAATAAATACTTGTTCAGCTTACAAACCCTGTTTACAATCAGGTGTTGTCTTCATAATGAAGGCTGACTATAAATGATCCCCAACATTCTGTCTCTTGTCTTTGTTGTACACTCTCTTGATGTTATTGTCTGTCATCATCTACTTTTTGCTCTCTTTCGTTTGACTTTTCCCTCCAGTAAGTTTTGTTAAAAAGTGTTATATCTTGAATTTTCTCTTGTTTTTCTTTTAGCAACTCTCTTCAGAACCTATGTATTTGATTTACAGATGCTATATATGTGATTTAAAACAAAAGTTAGTCTTATTTTGCCATAAGATGCATTACCTGTATGCCATTAATAGTACTGCAGTCCATACTTCTGCAGTCTTACAAAATTTATAGATTAATAGAATTTCAGGGGTCTTCAGTTTTATAAATATTTACCCTAGGGATAGATTTTTTTCTTGAAGTGAAAATTGTCTTTGGTTTCATCCAAACCCTTGTAGCAACTAGGAATTGGTAACACAAAATTAATACATAAGTTATGCAATATTGAATAACCAAACATAATTGATAGGCATAAATATCCATTATTGAAATAGAACAACTCTGTATATCCCAGTTTTAGCCCATATGGGTTGAACAGGATATTGTTGTTAAAATTACTACTGCTGGTACTAGTGTCATTTTTATAGAAAAATAGACACTGTGTGGGTGGTGTGGTCAATGTCTGCAAGCACATTTACTTCCCAGAATATTTCATACTGCTTATTTTAAGCAGTTTTTATCTGGAGCCCAGGTTTTTTTATTAAATATCCCATATGATTTCAAATACTAGCTCATTGAGCTGGCAGGCGTCAATGCTATCCAACAATTACTGCAGAGGAACGAAACTCCGACTCTACAAGAGCATCATTTAGCCAGTTCTTCTTTATGGAGCGGAATGCTGGAGAATGATCAAAAAGGATGCACACAAGCTGTCCACCTTCCACCACACATGTCTACGTAGAATTATCACAATTTTCTGGCCAGATACAATCTCAAACACTAAACTACTTCAAGCCACAAACCAAGAAACTTTAGACAGTATGATTACCAAGAGAAGATGGAAATGGCTTGGCCACGTTATGAGAATGACTTCTGATATACCTGCCAAAACAGCTCTCACATGGACACCAGAGGGAAAGAGAAAACAGGGGCGCCCAAAAACAACATGGAGACGAACGATGGAAAGTGACCTGAGTGCGGCATCTCTGACATGGAAAACTGCACTGAAGATTGCACAGGACAGGAAAGCATGGAAAGTCCTCTCTGAAGCCTCATGTGCCACTAGGCATAACGAGAACTGATGATGATGAATGGTGTATCGGGTATATAAGACTAGACTCTCGTTTGCAAAGACCAGTTGACTCTCAGTGGGTGATGTGGTCAACATCCTGCTAGCCACCTTAACTTCCCAGTACTTTAGCTGATACCCATTTTAGGCTAGGTATCCTGAAAGCCAAAGTCAAAAAGAAAACAAATCTTCCTCGGTTGGGTTCATGCTCAAGACCTTCAGGCGGGCAGCCACTACGCCACCACACTCTCATATGTACAGCAAACTTGAGATATTCCTTAAAGATGAAAGTCAGCAGGCCTGTAGACAGGTGCCAGGGTTTATTATTAGCCTGGTGGCCCCTCCAGGGAACACCATCAGAGCCTGCAACTCTAACTCTGGGGATGGTAAACACTAGCATTATGTTTATCCCAGATAAACACCTCTGCTGCCTTGACAGGTGTGCCTAGCAGACATCAAGTCCTGCAGGTATAGCAAGTGCCTGAATAAGAAAATAAACAGGTGTGCCAGCAACTGGAAGATTCAGACACATACTGCAGGTTCTTGTCACCTTACCTGAGATTATACCTGGCTTGGTTCAAATAAGTCACTGTTTTAATGCATTCATATTCTTTAAGTGTCTAATCTGGAGCAGGCATTGGTGATCATGACTCCACACCTCTCCATCATCTGGTATTTTAATTAACTTCTTGTAGTCTTCTTCTTTATGTTCACCAGCTGTAAACTCTATCGGAAAGTTCTGGTTGTTCCTCAAATTTTTGTTCACAAACGTGAGGTTTGCATGCACATCCATTTTACAGATCTGGCTTATTTGTATGCAGACTGTTGGTTCCTTGCATCTCAGAGATATGTTCTACAGCTTTGAAGGAAATATCCCTAATTAGTCAACATTTACGACATGCTTGTTGAAAGGGGGAAAGTGCAGTGGGTCTGTTATTTTGTCCCCCACTATGGAGTCCCAGAACCCACACAGTATTTTAACTTGATGTTACTTTTTTCTTCAAAAAAATTACCTCAACTCCCAGATCTACCCAGCCTTGAGTGGGTACCAGGTACGGTCCTGGAAAGTAAAGGCAGCCAACGTGATGTTGACAACATCACCCGCCAGATGCCGATGTCTATAAAATATAGGTATAGCCCAATATGCTCAATACACCTGAACACCTGGAAAAGGGTCCTTTCATTGGTTTTTTTGTTTTTTTTTTTGGTTATTTATCGGATGTTTTTTTTTTCCCTGTTGATATCCCAATCCAGGAGGTGTCCTGTTTTGGGCTGTAATGTAAGTAAAGTTGGGGGAACTGCTGGAGATATTCAAATAGGAATAGAAAAGGCTAGAGGAGTTTTTAAAGCAGCATCAAGAAATCAGTAGAGTCATAGGAACTTAGAACTGGTACTAAGCTTGAAATATTTAGCTCTAAAATTAAATCAGTACTGCTGAATGGAACTGAAATGCGGAGAACAACGAAGACTGTTACTAATAGACTACAAACATTCATTAACTGGTGCCTGAGCAGAATATATGGATTTAAATGGTGTGATAGAATCACTAAGATGGAGCTTTGACAGAGAAATGAACAAATTCCAGTGAATCAACAGTTGAAGAAAAGACATTAGAGCTGGATAAGACACATATTGAAAAAAACCTGAGAAAAAAATAACTAGAATGTCTATACACTGGAATCCCCAGGATCATAGAAATAAAGGCAGGCCAACCAAAAAAAAAAAAACACATGAAAGAGGAAACTAAAGTCTACCATATATACGGTAAAAGAAAAGTAACAGTAAAGGACCTTTTTTTTCATACCAATGGTGTATCGGGTATATAAGGCTAGACTCTTGTTTGTGTAGACCAGTCGATGAGGCACCACAGGCATTTAAAATTAAAACCATTATTAAAGTATTCTAACACTTGAATACTAAGTTTACTGCAACATTCGTTCTGTTTAAGCAGTCAGAAATCTGATATCTCTTATCTAAGTACCATCATGCAATTTTTCACTGACCTGCCTGCAATGTCTATGCTATTTGCAGCTTAACGCTGTGTTGGTCTATGATTGATTCTTCACAATTAAAGTTTCTTGTTAAAGTATACCGAGGAATTAGGAAGTGGGGAGTTCAGAATGAATGACTATAAATAAATAAGTCTGTACTATTGGTTTCCAGTTAAAACACAATCATTCCACCTAATAAACTAATGCACTTCTGGTATAGCAATGTTTGTGAATAAAGCCTGCAGTTGTTTGATAGTGTAACCTAGTGTTTCCTAAACTTTTCTTAGTCACGGCGCCTTTTTTAAATAAATATTTTTCCACGGCGCCCTAACCTAAGTAAAAGTATGTCTATTCGAATGTAAGAGTTAAAAAATTAAAACTCATGTATCTTCAAATATTTCACAGCGCCCCTGTGAACAGGTCGCGGCCCCTCAGGGCGCCATTACGCACAGTTAAGGAAACACTGGTGTAACCTATTCTGATGATAAAACGATAAATGTTAAAACTATTGTTTTTTCTTAGGTATATATAAATAAGTAACCACTTGTATTTTTATTACATTTATTTATCTTAATATCTTTTTGGTTTATTTCATGTCGTAAACTTTGTATTATTCTTACATGTATGCCATATTTTTTCAGCAAACATTGTTGAAAAACGAAATTTCACAACTGTCTCTTTGAGTACATTAATTTGTTTCTTTGTATGTGTTAACTTGTTTGAAAAAGATTTTTTTACAACCATTGATGTTACATTTTCTTTGTGTTTGCTGATTTGTTTCTAATATTTATTTTTCAGAATCTGATCAACTTGCTAGAAGAAGTCAAGGGTCATCTATCCTATCCAGTTTCCGCCGAAGCAGTTCAAGAAGATATAGCAATGGAAAGATGATGAACTGTGCTGATGACAAAGACACCCTCCGCAATTCCAGAAGCTCAGAAGAGAAGCAGACAAAACCAAAGTTTCATAGGCAGAAGAGTCTAATGGAATTATTAAAATCAACAAGACAGTCCACAGGACAAAGTGTTGTGCATCGTAATGGCGATATTATTATTATGAAAGGAGGGAAAATTGTAAGTGTTCGAAAAGAAGGAGAAGGCAGTCCATTCTTGGATCGGTTTAAAGCTCTTCAGGAAATGAGTGAACATAGTACTGGCCTTGTCGCCGGACTGGCTGGAACAGGACGTGCTGTGTTTGGTTTGGTTTGTGATGGGGTTTCCGATGAAAACAGTAGTGCAGCACATATAGAAAGGAATGAGTTCTCACAAAAGGATGATAGTTTTCTTCATCAAACACAGATGGAACAAAGTCAAGAGCATGTACACAAAGACACTTCTAGATTCACTGAACATAATATTGTGGACTCTCATTTAGACAATAAAATCTTACAGGGAGAAAAATATTGCAATGAACAAAACATAAATAGCAGTGAAATGAAATATTCAGAAGCAAAAATAGCCAGCATAAATGAGACATCAAACCAGCTGTGCAATAATGTTAATTTGTCGCTGAATAATACCAAAGATCTAGCCTCCTTTATAATGAACACAGAGAAATTCTGTGACAGTGAATTCAGCAGCAACAGAGTGAATCTTCCATACCTGGAAACATCTTCGCTTCCTGATCGAACAGCTGCTAGCTCAAACAGTTCACTTCATTCCGGTGGTCTTGTGATACATGTGAATGATGATGATGATATTCTCAGTGTCATGCCACTTACCCCTCACACCAGAGAATATCTGGCCAAGTCTGACATGCAGATTTCACAAACTGGCCCCGTGGTTGCTGAGGGTCCCGGAGAAACATTTGTGTTCAAAGCAGTGCAGCTCTCTCATAGTTCAGACGATGTTCTTAGGAAGCCACCTGCTATTCAGAGATTGCCCTCTCTGGAATTCTTAGACCCTCCAGTGCACCTGTTCAGGTCTCACAGTCATCTCAACATGCATTCCTCTAGCGCAAGACAGATTAGGAGATCAAAGTTGCCTAGAAAGAGAGAACGATCACAATCACCAGATGTAGGATTAAGCTCAAGGTTGCATATACGATCACCTTTCTCATCAAGGAGTAAAGTCACACATGTGTAGATAAACTATAGACTCTGATTGTTTGTGTTTATCAGGGTTCTCTTTGACTTGTAATATTCTGTTGATTAATTTCATGTTGCTCATACACAGGGCGGGCCATACTGATTGGATACATTTATATTTATATTACTGTGAGCAATAACTGTTGAACCTGATTTAGTAAAGTAAGTAAAGGATCCTTTTTCACGCCTTTGGGCATATAGGGCTAGACCTATATTTTATAGACCAATCAGCAAAAGATGGGTGATGTGGTCAGCATCACTTGGCCGCCGTTACTTCCCGGAACTGCACCCGGTACCTACTCAAGGTTGGGTCGACCTGGGAGAGGTTGTGCATGATTTGGATATAGCTTAACAGGAAGTGTGAGAATGGGAGGTACTGTGATATATTTTTTTCATTGCCCTTTCATCATCTAAAAGGAGATAACAGCCATACCAGCTGAAACCCCGGGCAAAAGTATGATGAACATGACTGTTAGAGCCAAAGAATGTTCTCGTCAAGGTGGTGTCCATCTCAGGGATGTAATCTTCAAACACTGAACACAGTGCAAAACTCCAGTCCTTTGGCAGGGTTTTCCATATTTTTGGTAATAAATGTTGCTTCCTTCATGCTCCACATATACATTTTAAATGTTTCCATCAGAATGGCCCACCCTAAAAATACACACACACACACACACACAAATGTGCACGCATACATAAATACACACACTCGCACAGAGATATAATTTAGTGGACCTGTTCATGTCTCCAGCCCTAGGATTAGAGTAACTTCTCTTGCCATTCATGTCTCCTAAGGTCGCTATACCTCTCCTATGTTGAGTTATAATATGGCTTAGTTTGGCGTTCGCTCGGCGTATGTAATGTTTGAGGGAAGTTGTGAGTGTATTTCAGGCACTGCAAACGCCCTTCCACAAAGAGTGTAGGAATAGGAAAATTACTGTTTCTACTCCGGAACCGTCTGGGGATGGAAAATAATAATGTGAATAGCACCGCTTTAGTCATTGCAATTTTTCTGCTGCTCATATTATACAGACCATTTAGATGGTCAGTGTTTGCCACTGTATATGATCATTTTTTCCGTAAAAGAGTAAAGTCACACGTGTAGATCATGTACATCCACTGTGTTCATGTTTATCTGAGTTCTGTTTCATGTCTAAGATTCTATTAGCTGATTTCAGGTAACCCACATGTGAATGCTATAAATGCTGCATTCGTATCAAAACCATACTTCTCATCCTTTTTAGGATGAAATTTTCGTTATTTTAAGCCCTAATCTGGCTTTTGCCAATAGCTGCAAAATAGCCTGGCCATAAATATGGCTTAAAGGCTGAACGCGGCTTCTGGGACCTGTCCATGGTGATCCTCACCCACATGGTGGCACATTGTGTCATCAGGTGTTTATCGCTTGTGTGATGTCCTGGTGGGGTAGAAAGTCAGTCAGTCAGTCAATGCTGCATTGGATGCAATGATCCATTGTTCACACTACATAGACCATGTAAGTGGCAAGGTTTGCTTGCCACTTTACACAATCTCCTTTCTCATCAAGAGTCAAATCTCACATGTATGGTTATACTGCTTACACAATTCAAGTTTATCAAAGTTTTGTTTCATCTATAAGATTCTGATGACTGATTTCTTGTTGCTCACATTTGTTTTAAATCTTGCATTGACTGCACTGTTAACATTGTACAGAACTTTTAGGTACTTAGTGTTTTGCCACTTCATATGATCTGCTCAAGGAATAATGTCACACATGTTTAACTCTTTGAGTCCCAGGGGGGTTAAGCATCATATGCCCAGGGGGTAGTAAAGAGAGTCATAAAATCGGCGCATCTTGCATTTATTGGGCTTCTAGGTAGGAACCTATGAATGTATGATGCGTTCCTTGGGACTCAAAGAGTTAAAGCATATACTGTCCTTGTTTATCGTGGTTCTGTCTCAACAATAAGAATCTTGTTGACTGCTTTCTTATTGCCCACTTTGTATGCTTTAACCATATTGCAATGGATTTACTGTTCACACTTTAAAGACCACAGACATAAGTTGTAATGGTAAACGTAATTGTATGTCATGCTTATCCACCTCGGTGATCCACGGGTTACCACTTTATATGTTTTCCCTGTTCATCAAGGAGTAAAGTCACACATGCAGATCACATGCTACTCACTCTATTCCTGTTTATCCAGTTTATATTTCACATATAAGATTTAGTTAACTGATTTCTGTTGCCAATATGTGTATGATTTTAATTTACAATTGGTACACTTTCACACAGTACAGACTTTGAAGTTGGTCAGAGTTTGATGCTTGACATGATCTTCCTTTCTAACCAAGGAATGAAGTCATTTATATGTAGATCATGTACCAGGACCATTCAGCTTGCTTTACTCAGGGGCCCAAAATGTTGAAAAATTGGGATTGTCACAGGACAGAGGCTTGAGCCTCAGCATAGAAAGAACATTAATGCAATACAGTTAGCAGGTGATCCACTAACCACTTGCTAGGCCCTTGTGGGCTGCTGGTTGAATAGCCCTGTAATTTACTATATACTCTCTTCATGTTATCAGTTAAAACAAGAAGTAAAACTAGTCAACTTCATAATCTCGCAGTCAAGAATGACAAAATCACTGCTGCAGCAAGAGAGTCTTTATCGGCATATGATGCAACTGGATAATGATACAGTTAAAAAACAAGTATACACTAAATCACTTATCTGTCACAAAGATATCCATATCACATTTGAATAGTAAAACTCTTAGTGCAAGTGTTGTTGCAGGAAAGAGATACCGCACAGGAAGATGTTTATTCAGGATGAATTTCATCTATAAGATTTGAGATTCTTTTGATGGGTTTCCTGTTACTCCCCCCCCCCTCCCCGCCCCCCATATGTGTGCTTTAAATGTTGCATTGGAATCCTGTTCACACTTTAGAAGCCACAGAGATAATTTATAATGGATGATCTCTCATCATCATCATTTGTCATGCTTATCCTTATCCACCCAGATTGTGACCATTTTTTTTTATCTCCCTTGCTTCAAGCAGTAAAGTCACACATGGATTGATCAAATACTCTCTACTCTGTTCTTTCCTATTTATAAGGGTTCTGGTTCATCTAAACCAGTGGTTCTCAACCTTCCTAACGGTGTGACCCTTTAATACAGTTCCTCATCTTGTGGTGACCCCCAGCCATGAAATTATTTTTGTCGCTTCTTCAAAACTTTGGTGAATACGTGGGTGCTTTATTATTATCCTACCTCAAACGGGGGAAATCCAAAGGTCACGGGACACTCTAATATTTCAGGGGGTGGTAGATAGGTTGCATGCAGTTGTGGGACCTAGGCTGCACTCTCTCGTGGGATTTGGGTGGGTTGGGGTTAGGGACCGTTCTAGATGTTTTGGGGTTGTTAAAAGCATCAGAAAGCCGGGAAACCCAGTCCCACCACCCTCTGTCCTGTAACGTCATCTGGGGTAGGATATTAATAAAGAAACAATATGTGTTTTCCGACAGTCTTAGGCAACCCCTGTGAAATGATCATTCGACCCCCAAAGGGGCCCGACCCACAGGTTGAGAACCGCTGATCTAAATAATTATGGTGTTGTTATTTTGTTCTTAGCAAACAATTTTTGTACACATGTTTGTCAAAATAATTTTTATATAGAAGCAGAATTACCTGCGACGCATACCTTAAAATTATGCTTTTTAATAGGGTAGGTGAGAACACACCCAAAAAAAAAAGATTTATATGTGTATTATAATTAACATGAATTTTTTTCATTTTCCTCCATTCCTGCCTTATATTCCTCCATATCTCACTACTGCACAGAAAACGATCATGACCTCATTTGAAGTCATTACTCGTGGATTGGGAATCCTTGCTTTAAATGTTTCAATAAATACACTGTTTACACTTTACAAACATGTCCTTCTATCCGGGGTGTAGCTGTTTAACCATGCCTTGTTTGATGTGTTTAAAATTTACGTGCAGTAGCTTACTTAGTCAGAAACATTTTATGTCCATTCGCTACCTGACCTAGTCAAAAGCTGAATAACAATGGCATTGTAACACTCATGTCCTACCATACTAGTTATGGTACTAGCTGAGTAACCACATCTTGCTTGCTTTGTTTAAAATTTAATGCAATAGGCTGGGGTAGCTTTCTCTGTTGCAGACATTTAACCTGTGTGGTCTAGTCAGTTGTTGAATAACAATAGCAGTGTTTATATGCAGCTGCTATACTGGGTATAGTATTAGTTGTGTAACCACATCTTGTTTGCTTTGTTTAAAATGTACATGTAATAGACTTGGGGTAGCTTTCTCTGTCAGAGACATTTAACTTGACTGTTTTGTTACCCAGTCACACACATGAAGAGAACCATAGGCATTGACACTCCATGTTCTGTTAAGCTAGGTTTAGTAGTAGCTTGTATAAAAGTTCCTCAAAAGTTAGTTGTGTGTCCTTTAAAGGAGATTTCAAACCAGCTCCAGCATTTGTTGGCTGTTTATGGTTTTGCTACAGCAATTTTTACCATTGCAAATTATTTAAGGAGGGACCTACTGAGGCAGTCTTTTGTAGTTTTTAAAGTGACTTACTGGGACAGACTTTTGTAGTTATTGAAGGAGTGACTTATTAGGACAGACTTTTGTAGTTATTAAAGGAGTGTCTTAATGGGATAGACTTTTGTACTTATTAAAGGAGTTACTTATTGGGACAGACTTTTGTAGTTATTAATGGAGTGTCTTAATGGGATAGACTTTTGTAGTTATTAAAGGAGTGACTTATTAGGACAGACTTTTGTAGTTATTAAAGGAGTGTCTTAATGGGATAGACTTTTGTACTTATTAAAGGAGTGACTTATTAGGACAGACTTTTGTAGTTATTAAAGGAGTGTCTTAATGGGATAGACTTTTGTACTTATTAAAGGAGTGACTTATTGGGACAGACTTTTGTACTTATTAAAGGAGGAACTCACTGAGGCAGACTTGTACTTATTAAAGG